GCCTGATTAAGATTTGGGGGGCTTTAATTGCTGGGAGGCCTTTGAATACCAATCACTGTTACCTATAGTGGAGGAGATCTATGACTTTTTTGTTGGACCCGTGGCATCTGACATCTGTTTTGCTTGGCAGGGACTTCTGTTGACACATCATCCTGAACCTGCTTACTGAATTAAGTCATTTTCTGAATTGCACAGGGCAGTCAAACATAAATGCATGCTAAGACAGACTCTGCACAAGATGCTAAATCAACAAAAATGAAAGAAAGAAAGAAAAAAGGCATCAGAAGATTTGCCAAGTGTAATATGTTGTGCAAATATATCTGCTAGTGTTTACTTGTCCTTAATTACGGTGTGTGTGTGTGTGTGTGCAGACTTGAGGGGAGGGATTGTTAAGACTGTGATGGCCCTTGGTGTCATACAGCAAGACAATGAGGAATTTCTCGTGTTCATAATCTTTATTTATACAATTAAGGTACAGAGGATGGCTGGGATGGGTTTTCTTGTCCTCTCTGACTTATCAGCCCTGTTCAGAGAGGAAGTAGCTGCACAAAACACCACTGGTTCCAGTTTCATGGTGGGCTTCTGGATGGCTTCCAATGTGGCAAAAAGGAAGATGAGACAGAGGATTCCCCAGCTTTTGGTTTAACTCTAAAATTAATGGAATCTTCTCTCCCTTTATAAATTGCCTTTAAGGATCTGCAATTAACTTCAGAATAAAAGGATTACTTAAGTATGGTCCATCAATTGCTCTCCTCTTAAGATGCAAGCCAGCGTCTTCGTCACAGCAAAGGAAAAGGAAAGGATCTGATGGTCAGATGGAGCAGGCGATCTGCCAGGAGCTTCTTTCCCTAAGGGCATTCCTTCAAATGGGTAACAAATGTCCAAATCACCCTTTGTCCACTGCAAGACCAGGTTGTGATCGGTCTCCCTTCTGCTTAACGCACTTTAAGGGGAAGTTGGCAAATGGGAAAACCCATCCATGATGGAGCATCGAAGATGTGAGGCCTTCTAGCAGATCTGGAAAGGCCTCTTCCAGCCACTTGCTTCTGGAGAGCAGAAATGGACATCTCCCTCTGGTGACTGAGGCATGTTTTTCAAGTTTTCGCATGAGGAGGACCATTTCAGTGGTGGGCCAACTTCTCTTGGCTTTATTTATTTTGGTTCCTAACAACATTTCCAGTCATTCAAGCTTTCCAATAGGCCAAACACACACAAAGTCATCAGCAGCCCTATAATTGGGGTGAGAAGGTGAAAATCTTCTACAGGTAGTCCTTGATTTACAACCACAATTGTTTCTTCTATGAAGGAGATGGGTGGTTTTAAATTTTGATAAATATTTCATAAATAAATATACGAAATAAATTGGGTTTTGGAATTTCAGTTCTAAGCAATGCCATCATTAAGCAAGCTATCACATGACCCAGCCCAATTTCAGGACTATTTTTACTGTGGTTGTTAAGTGAATCCAGGTTGACTTTGCTTGTTGGAAGCCAGCAGAGAAGTCATAAACTGCAGTCATGTGACCAGAAGATACAGCAACCATCATAAATGCAAGTTAGTGGCCACACTCCAAAATTGTGATCGTATGGTTGGCTGTAACTTCAAGGATGTTGTAAGCCACTTTTCCTGAGGCTGTCATAACTTCAAGCTGTTGTTAAATTAACAATCGTAAGTTAAGGTTTATCTGTATCTTTGTGAAGATTCTTCAGCCAGTTGATTGGAATGGATAGTGTGGAGATAAACATGAGCCTGTCTGGGTAAATCTTAACGCAAACCACTTTGGTTGAGTGAGACACATTTATGGGAGATTTTCAAACCTCCACATGAAGGTAGAGTTAACCTGCAAAACGTACATGACAAATGAAAGTGTTTTGGCTTCCTATCTTGGACTGGGCCTAGATTAAATTTTACTGCGGTTAAATAAATCTATGCTCTCCTTTCTGTTTATTTTTATCCAGTGTGGGCAACCTAGATCTCTTGGGGATAATTTGTTTTGAACAGCCATTGAAAATGGATGTTCTTAAGAAGGATATTCTTTTTCATTTTCCAAATATTAAATATTGTTTTGCAAAGGGCTCAGTAAACTAGGCAGCAGTTTATCAATTTCTTTTTTGATTGGCCTAACTTCCACTAGCAAAGGGATGCTGGAAAACTGAGAAGAAAGGATAATGTCCTCAACTGTGGTAAATCTATGGCAATCTTTTCCTGTAAAGAGACATGGATAATTTAAAGGGAATCCTGCGAATACGTAAAGTGCTTCAAATGTTGGGCACTTTTGACAAAACCCAGCATCATCCACTAATTTCTGCCAGCTTCTGTGCCTACTTGCAGCTCTCTCAATATAGGTAATATGGGGGTAGGAGAGAGACAAAGATAGAGAGAGAGTGAGAGGAAAAAATGAGTGACAAAAAAGAGAAACAATGAAAAAGAGAAAGAAAGAATGAAAGGGAGAATGAGAAAGAGAATGGGAATGAAAGAGAGAATGAGAGTAAGAATGAGAGAATGAAAGAGAATGAGAAAGAGAATGGGACTGAAAGAAAGGGAGAATGGGACTGAATGAAAGAGAATGAGAGAGAGAGAGAATGGAAATGAGAAAGAGAGAAAGACTCTGACCGACTCTTAGATCCTTGCTGTCTAGGAAGAACCATCCTGTCTATTTGCAGTGGTCACATCCTCAGCTAATACTCGCTCAGTGGGACAGGCACAAAAAGAAAATAGGCAGATAAAGACAATATTTGCTGAATGTTCACTCACTCTGGAAACAGACAACGTACAGGACTTGGAGACAGCTTACCCAACGGTACAACAAGAGGAACACATTGCATTTCTCTTTCTACTGAATAACCAGTTAGGCCGTTTCCCTTACTTGCTGCTCTACAGCAATAGAGAGCCCCAGGAAGGCTGCTGTGTTACTGGCTATCAAGTAGCTGTTACAAGTGATTTTCAGCAAAAAATGGGCCCAAAAAAAAGGGTGAGAAAAGCCTTGTTGGTTGTGTTATATCTAGGTAAGGTAACAAAGGAAAGATGCACATCCTTGAAAGCTATCCTTCTTCTTCAGCCCAACTCATTTCAGAGTTGTTGTTGTGGGAAAAATAGGGGGAGTAAGGAATATTAGATATGTTCACTGCCACGGATTGTTTATAAAAATAATAAAGGTATACAAAGAAACAAACAAATAAATCCTTACCTTATTTGTCCCAAGAATCAGCAGCCAAAAAAGAATTTTGCCCCTGGAAAATTTCTTGCGGTACTCTTAATTTTTGTATCGGACTCTCAAATTCCCTTCCATGTAAATTCAACCCCAACATCTAGTATTTGCAGAAGTACACCTAAAAGGTAATTCATGTCTTGTTGACAGCTCTAGATTTGTGTAAAAGTGTCTAATCTCTGTGAAAACATCTGTGCCATGTATTATGGTTGTGAATTATGCATTATGCTGAATTTAGGAGCAGGTTGGCTTCATTGGACAAGATGGGAGATCAAGAATAAGAAGACAGTTGTGCAACCTGTTAGTCCTTTTAGGATCATCCCTGAGGAAGAGGAGGAGGAGGAGGAAGGAGAAGGAAAAGAAGAAGAACAAGAAGAGGGGAAGAAAGAGGAGGGGGAAGGGAAGAAGAAGAAAGAGAGAAGAAAAAGAAGAGAAGGAGGAGAAGGGAGAAGAGGAAGGGAGGAGGAGAAGGAGAAGCAGGGGAAGGAGGAGAAGGGGAGGAGGAGGAGGGGAGGAGGAGAAGCAGGGGGAGAAGAAAAAGAAGGAGGTGGAGGAGGAGAAGCAAGGGAAGAAGGAGGAGGAAGAGGAAGGGAAAAGCAGGGGAAGAAGAAGATGGAGGAGGAGGAGGAAGGGAGGAGGAGAAGGAGAAGCAGCAGGGGAAGAAGGAGGGGGAAGTGGAGAAGGAGGAGGATGGTGAAGGGGAAGGAGGAGGAGGAGGGAAAGAGGGAGGAGGAGAAGCAGGGAGAGAAGAAAAAGGAGGAGAAGACGAAAAGGAGGAGGAAGAGGAGGAGAGGAGAAGCAGGGGAAGAAGATGGAGGAGGAGGAGGAAGGGAGGAGGAAAAGGAGAAGAAGAAGAAAAAGGAGGAGAAGGGGAGGAGGAGGAAGAGGAGGAAGTGGTGGAGGAGGAAGAGGAGGGGAACAGTGAAGGGGAAGGAGGAGGGGAAGGGGAGGAGGGGGAGGGGGAGGAAGAGAAGGAGGAAGTTGTGGAGAAGGAGGAGGAGGGAGGAAGGGGAGGGGGAGGAGGGGGAGGAGGAAGAGAAACGGAGGACGAGAAGCAGGGGGAGAAGAAAAAGAATAGGAAGTGGGAGAGAAGCAGGGAAAGAAGAAGAGGAGGTGGAGAAGAGGAGAAGCAGGGGAAGAAGATGAAAAAGAAGGAGGGGAGGAGGAGGAGGAGAAGAGTGGGGAGGAGCAGGGGAAGGGGGAGGGAATATGCTGACCAAATCAATTTATTGCTTTTTTTTTTCAGCCCTCTTGTATCCTATTTAAGAGAATAAGCAAACATGGGGAGGAAATAGGTCTCTTAGCCAACTGGGGGAAGAGGATAGGACTTGGTCTGAAATCCTTAAAATATGGTGTGTGGTCTGAATTTAGGGAATCTTCTAGTGATCCATTGTACAGTAATTGCCATGTTGGGTTGTTAGTTGAGTGCAAGGGATCAACATTTGAATCAGGTGACTCCTTCTGAAAGTTTATCAAATCTTTCTTTCCTGCTTGCTTATAATCTCCTTAAACAGGTCCATCCTTTCATATCAGTTAACCAGCCTCATAGAAATAACCCTATATCGTATGAACTCATCATGGTTAAATCAAGGCTTGTTCAGACCGAATGAAAGGTGAATAAACTTTTACGGAAGGTTGTCCTTTTGGGAGTCGTTGGCGGAGGAGAGTTGTTTTTTTGGGGGGGGATCGGGGGGGGAGCCGGGATGGGGTAGGGTATTTAAAATCTGGAAGCTATTTTGGAAAGGATTTGGAGGAGGAGGTCACTTTCTGTACGCAAAGTAGATTCTTGGAACATAGTAAAAAAATAGTGCTTTTATTGGCCGGTTTTACAAGCAGAATCCATTAGTATCTAATATCCTGCGGGATAGAACAAAAATAAAAATAAAGCCATGCTTTCTCCAAAGTCAATTTTTTGTCTTTTTTTTTTTTTGTGTGTTTTCCCTGGGTTAAATTGCTGACAGGCCTGTTGTAAGCAGGGGCATGGCTGCAACAGAAAACGGCAATGTTGCTGACACAATAATTTCGTCTTGCAACCTATTCTCTCAGCAAGCAGGAGCATCTCCTGTTAATTGGGGAAAGGTCCCTGATTCCCCCCCGTCTTCTAAAACAGCCTTTCCCAATCTGGCGCCCCCGTATGATTCAGAACAATATCTCCCAAAATTCCCAGCCGTGTGGCCAACCTCAACGTTAACTATGGCTGACTCAAAATTTGAGCGTTATATCATCCCAACATATCTGGGCCCGGGGAGGCAGATGTAAAATGATAATAATTTGTGGAAAAGAAGGCACACACACATACATACAGGTAGTCCTCGTTTAGCGACTGCCTTGTATAGCGACTGTTCCCAGTTACGACGATGATGGTGGTGGTGGTGGTGATGAAAAAGTAACTTTCTGGCCAGTCCTCGCATTTACGACCTTCAATGGTCTGCAAAGCAAAGGAAAGCTGAAGGAAGTTCATAAGCACAGTTGCAGTTTCACTTAGCGACCACTTCACTTGCCGATCCCGACTTGTGGTCGCTAAATGAGGACTATCTGTAATTTTCTTTAGAAAGACCATTCATAACATACACATTAAGTATTACAGCATTGCTACAGCAGCTACCTGATTGCTGGTCTTCTTCTCCATCCCACTGTTATTATAGAATGCAAGGTCGTACATTGCCATAAATAAATGCACTAATATAAGTAAGACCTTAAAATGAAAGTATGCGCTCAGGTTTATGTTGTGTACAGTATAGGTATAAATATTCACTGTCTTACAGTTTAGCGTCTCGGTAATCACACTTTGGCTGTGGCCTTGTGCTGGTTCCCCTCCTAACCTCCTTGTGCATATATAAATATAAACATTGAGCAAAGTGGAAAAGAGCAGGGGCAGAGGTTAGGCCTCTTCCTTCAGGGTTTACCTGCTTTCCTGCTGCCTTTGCAACTAATGTTTAACAAGGCTGCTTCAACCGGTTGTGTAGTGACAGCATTACATTCTGTAAACAATATTGTAAAGTGTTTTAAACGAGAGAAACACGTTTAAACAATCGACTCTTTATCTCGGTCAGCTGATAACTGATCGTCAAGCGGTTCGTCGCAGCCGCTGGAGTCCGTCATCCGTAGCTGGAAATTCTCACTGGTGCCCCGGGTGACGCTATCATAGGAAGGGGGGAAGGACGTGGAGGAGAGGGTTTCGGATTTGTCGATAGGCTTCCGGTAGTTTTCATCCATCATGCAGGCAATGAGGCCTTCCTTCTCTGGAGCCTCGTCTCCTGGGGGGCAGGTTTTTTGGCGATACAAGAAAGACGCTTGCTTGAGGGTGCGTTGGAAAAGGTGACTTCTGTAAGCTCTCTGGATGATGATAGCGGACACCTCTTCCTGTTTCCGCCTCAGCGTAGTGGTGATGGGTTCGTAAGATGCCTTCGATGGGTTGGCTGCCATAAATTTCTCCTCCATCTGTATTTTAAGGGCGTCCATTTCTCCGGTTTCTCCCAGAACTCTTTTGGTGAAAGCAAACAAAATATCTAAGCAGTGGATCCTGTCTCCGCTCACCATGGGGAGGTCCATGGCTATGAGCTTAATATAGTTGGGTTTCGCAATGCGCAAAGGTTCTGGCAGAGAATCTGCGAAACTGGATAGGGCACCATAGGTAATAAACTGCGTAGCTTCGGGGTCAAACTTCTCCCAGGTTTCGTAAAACATGTCAAAGTCATCCTCACTTAGAGGCTCTGTGCTCTCTTCAGTGGCCACACTGAAGTTCTCCAAAATAATAGCTATGTACATGTTGACCACAATGAGGAAAGAGATGATAATGTAGGTGACAAAGAACAGGATCCCCACTGCGGGACTGCCACAGTTCCCCTTTGACCCGTTGGAGTTAACGTAGCTGGGGTCACAATAGGGGGGGCCCGTGTTCAAAATGGGGTTGAGAAGACCATCCCAGCCAGCCGACGTGGTGATCTGGAACAGGCAAAGCATGCTGTTGGCAAACGTCTCGAAGTTGAACATGTCATCAATCCCGTGTTCTTTCTTGACATAGGCAAAGTTGGCCATGCCAAAGATGGCATAAATAAACATGACCAGGAACAGGAGGAGCCCGATGTTGAACAAAGCAGGGAGGGACATCATTAAGGCAAACAGAAGCGTTCGGATTCCTTTGGCACCTCTGATAAGTCTCAAGATCCGACCTATCCGAGCCAGGCGGATGACTCGGAACAGCGTAGGGGAAAAGAAGTACTTCTGGATGATGTCAGACAGGACTGAGCCTTGGGGGAAGAGAGAAGAGGGGAGAGAACAGATGTCTGGTTAGTGCACTAGAAGAACAAAGGCTGCGGAGATGTACAAGTTATCAAGCTAACTAATTGGAACAATAAACTCTTCCATAAACTATCCTTGAGAAAGCTCAGCTGAGCATGCACATCAGCTGACTCCGGTCCTTTTCTTCCCTTTTTATAGCTACAGGTAATCCTCGTTTAATGACCGGTCACTTAATAGCCATTTGAAGTTACGGCAGATCCCCTGAAAAGCTACTTATAGCCATAGCTCTTGGACTTACCATATTTTTTGGAGTATTAGACACACCTTTTTTCCCAAAAAAAGAGGATGAAAATCTGGGTGCCCCTTATACTCCGAATGTAGCCCCGCCCATCTTCTCAAACGGAGGTTTCAGAGGTTGAAAAAAGCATCAGAAAAAAAGCTTCAGAAAAGAAGCCCACAAACAGAGCTTCAGAGGATTTTTTTCCCTGAAGCTCTGTTTCGGAGGCTTTCAGAGGCAGGAAAAAAAGGGGGGAAAAAGCAAGGCAAAGAGCTCACAACCAAGGAACCTGTTGCTAAAATTCACCTCTGGGAACAGCTGATTGGGGGCATTCCGGGGAGGCCGATCCTCCTGCCAATCAGCTTTTTTTTTTTATTTTCCTCCCCAAAAACTAAGGTGTGTCTTATATTCCGAAAAATATGGTATATAATGCTTCCCAGTGCTTTACAGCCCTCTCTAAACAGTTTACAGAGTCAGCATATTGTCCCCATTATGGGTCCTCATTTTACCCATCTTGGAAAGATGGAAGGTTGAGTCAATCTTAAGACTGTCAGGACAGAACTCCAGACTGTGGGGAGAGTTTGCCAGCAATATTGTATTCTAACCATTGTGCTACCAGGCCTCCTTATGACCCAGTCCCAAAGTTACAGCCATTGTGGTCATTCACCCTTGCCAGGTGGGGATTGGGAAAGGCCGGCAGGGATCCAGTGGGAGGGTAAAGGTATGTGGTGACCCCTGGCGTTGGAGGTGGAGCATGGGGCAGGCAAGCCTGGGCCTGCACTAAATCTCCCAAGGCCTGCCCCTCCCTCGAGTCTCTCCATGCTTTACTTAACAATCTGCATGTCCTTCAACGGCTGCATCAGGAAGACCAGGAGGTGATGGAGTCATTAAGCAAGGCTGTCTCCTGTAATGGCCATAATGGGCAATTTCCATTATAGTCGTATGTCGAGGAATACCTGCATGACATTCTTAATGTTTCCATAATGTGTGATATATACTATAATGATTTATGGGTTCTTTTTTTTTTTTTTAACAATACTGTTTTACTAAGTTTATAGATCAATCCAAAATTGCACGGCAACTATTCTACCACAAGGTCCACACTGCTTTTGTTTTTGTGTTATTATCAATGGAATTACAGTAATATTGTAAGGTTGCTTAGACCAAAACATCATACAAATATTATAATCAAATAAATAATTCTTAGTATACAAAGGATATTCCTCATTAGGCTGTGTAGCCTAGGAAATCTGACTAAGAGGAGACCAGTTTGCTCTGAGAGTAATGAGTCCATTTTGTCCAGCTTTTTCTGTGCACCATTGTCAACAAGAAGCCTCTACAAGCAGGACATGAAGTCTTCTCCCACTCATGTTCTAGAGAACCATCATGATTAATGGCTTTAAAGGAACATGGCAAAATATGAATAGAATCATGAAAAGGGTTAGGGTTAGCGCTAGGTTTACGGTTAAGGCCTAGGTTCAAGTTACGGTTAGGGTTTAGGGTTTGGGTCGGGTTAGGGTTAGGGTTAGGGGGGTTTGGGTCGGGGTTAGGGTTAGGGTTAGGGTTTGGTTTGGATCTAGGGTTAGGGTAGGGCTAATGTTAGGCTAGGGCTAGGGCTAGGGCTTTGGGGTTAGTTAAGGGCTAGGGCTAAGGGTAGGGCTAGGGCTAGGGCTAGGGCTAGGGCTTGGGTAGGGTTAGGGTTTGGGTCGGGTTAGGGTTAGGGTTAGGGGGGATGGGTGGGTTAGGGTTTTATTAGGTTTATGGGTTAGGGCTAGGGTATATGGGTTAGGGTGTTAGGTCGGGTTAGGGTTAGGGTTAGGGTTAGGGTTAGGTGTGTTAGGGTTAGGGTCGGTGTTGTGTAGAGGTTATGGTTAGGGTTTGGGTCTAGTGGTTTGAGGGTAGGGCTTAATGTTAGGGTAGGGCTAGGGTCTAGGGCTAGGGTTAGGGTTAGGGCTAGGGTTAGGGTTAATGTTAGAGCTAGGTGTAGGTCTAGTGTGAGGTTAATGTTAGGTCTAGGTCTAGTGTTAGGGTTTTGGGGTTGGGCTAAGGCTAGGGTTAATGTTAGGCAAGGGCTTAGGTCTAGTAAGAGGGGTTAGGGACTGGGATTTAGGGCTAGGATTAGGGCTAGGGCTAGGGTTAGGGTTAGCGTTAGCGTTTAGTGTACGGTTAGGGTTAGGTATAGGCTAATGCTAACCCTAACCCTTTATTGTAAAGACATATGAAAATGAAAGAATGGCAAACTAATGCACCCCCTTATTTGTGGCAGCCCTTAGATATTGGAAACTGCTATCATATCATCCCTAGTCCTTCTGGGAATTAAAATCCATGTATCTTAAAGTTGCCAATATTGGCAACTCCTGGTCTAGAGTCTCACACCAATATATCTAGATAAACTATTAACATATATACTAGTTAGGTTTGGTCTAAAGACAGAAGAGCATTTTAATATGAACTAATAGAATTCAAATAGCCTCAATTTGATGAAGAAAAATGGGAAACAATTCTTTACTTTTGGCTCTTTCCTGAATTTTTTCATGCAACCTTTCAGCTAAAATATGTACAAAGATGTATATCAGAGTAAATTGAATACAAAAGGCATACATTAATGGCATATTTTTGAGAAAATTGTTGCAAGAAAGTGTAAAATGCATATGAACTATTTCATATTTCATTCACACAGATGTAAATGAAAATTCATGTAACCTTCATGTGCACATTATTATTTAATAATATTAATGTTATTACTATGATTATAATTATTTTTGCAAATTGATGGGAAAATGAGACAGAAAATGACATGAAACCAGACAGATTTGGATAGATGACCTACCGACAATTGATAGAATCACAACCACAAAATCAAATATGTTCCATCCATTGGTGAAATAGTAATGCCTCAGAGCTGTCATTTTGAAGATACACTCTGCAGTGAAGATCGCAACAAAGACCATATTGATTCTGTAGAGGTGATGATCACTTTTTCTGGACTTTGGTCATCGGTCTCCACCATCATAGTCACCATGTTTAGGCATATCAGAAGCATGATGCAAACATCAAAGGCTTGGTTCAAGACAAGGTCAAAGATGAAACCTTGATACTTGTTCTGGAGACAGGAAGGAGATATTAGTGTGTTATAGAGGTTAAGTCACATTATTGCAAGGGTCCCCAAACTTGGCAACTTTAAGACTTGTGGACTACAACTCCATGCAGGCTGAGGAATTCTGGGAGTTGAAGTCCACAAGCCTTAAAATTCCCATTGGAGAATCCTCCCCTATGGTATAATTGAAATGAAAATGATGCTGTTTGAGTTGGACTGAACTGTTTCATGGTTGAGTGTACAAGAATATTTTGCACATCGTAAATATTGTAAAAGTAGGTTGGACTGTGATATCAAAAGCTAGGTCAACTCTTGATGGCCATAGCAGTGTAGAAGCAGATTAATGGACAGTATAATTTAACAACAGTTGAAGACCACTGCTTCAGTGATATAGGTCCCTTAGCTACCATTAAGTATATATACACACAGTATATTTATTAAATACACACACACACACACAACACAATACATTGGTAGACTTTTCAGCATTTAATCAACCTTAGTTAATTTACCAAAAACTAAATGAAGCAATACAATTTTTTCAATTCAATTTAATTCAATTTATATGCCGCCCCTCTCCGAAGACTCAGGACGGCTAAACAGGGTGGCTAAAGCAAAGCTAAACATGGTTAATACTTGGAACGGACACCACCATGGCTCTGAAGGTTGGGCTGGAAACTAAGAAAATATTCCATTAAACACCTGACTAAACCATTTTCACACTACTACCAGAATCATGGATTCACATGAATCCATCCCCACCCACCACTCACCCATCCATCCATCCATCCATCCATCCATCCATCCACCCACTCATCCATTCATCATCCATCCATCCATCCACCCACCCACCACTCACCCACCCACTCACTCACCCACCCACTCATCCATCCATCCACCCTCCCACTCACCCCTCACTCATCCATCCATCCATCCACCCACCCACCCACTCATCCATCCATCCACCCTCCCACTCACCCACTATCATCCACCCACCCACTCACTCCTCCACCCATCCATCCATCCACCCAGCCATCCATCCATTCACCTCCCACCCACCCAACATCCACCCACCCATCCATCCACCCACTCATCCATCCATCCACCCTCCCCACTCACCCACTCATCCACCCACCCATCCATCCACCCACTCATCCATCCATCCACCCTCCCACTCACCACTCATCCACCCACCCACCCTCCCACACACCCACTCATATCACCCACCCACCCTCCCACTCACCCACCCACCCACCCACCCACTCACTCCTCCACCCATCCATCCATCCACCCACTCATCCATCTCATCCATCCACCCTCCCACTCACCCACTCATCCACCCACCCACCCACTCAACCCACTCACCCACCCACTCACCCACCCACTCATCCATCCATCCACCCACTCATCCATCCATCCACCCACCCACCCACCCCTCACTCATCCATCCATCCATCCACCCACCCACTCTCCATCATCCACCACGCACCCACTCACCCCACTCATCCACCCACCCACCCCTCACTCCTCCACCCACCCACCCATCCATCCACCCACTCATCCATCCATCCACCCTCCCACTCACCCACCTCATCACCCATCCACCCTCCCACCCACCACACACATCATCCACCCACCCTCCCACTCACCCACTCACCCACCCACCCACCCACCCACTCACTCCTCCACCCACCCATCCATCCATCCACCCACTCATCCATCCATCCACCCTCCCACTCACCCCACTCATCACTCCACCCACCCATCATCCATCCATCCATCCATCCATCCACCCACCCATTCATTCATCAACCCATCCACTCATCCATCCATCCATCCACTCATCCATCCATCCATCCTCCACCCACCCCACCCACTCACTCCTCCACCCACCCATCCATCCATCCACCCACTCATCCATCCATCCACCCTCCCACTCACCCACTCATCCACCCACCCACCCACTCATCCATCCATCCATCCATCCACCCACCCACTCATTCATCAACCCATCCACTCATCCATCCATCCATCCACTCATCCATCCATCCATCCTCCACCCACCCACTCACTCCTCCACCCCACCCATCCATCCATCCACCCACTCATCCATCCATCCACCCTCCCACTCACCCCCTCATCCACCCCCACCACCCACTCATCCATCCATCCATCCATCACCCACCCACTCATTCATCAACCCATCCACTCATCCATCCATCCATCCACTCATCCATCCATCCATCCTCCATCCACCCACTCATCCATCCATCCACCCACCCACTCATTCATCAACCCCATCCACTCATCCATCCATCCATCCACTCATCCACCCACTCATCATCCATCTATCCATCCAAGAATCACCAAAAGTGGCGTTCAGCTGAATTCTTTTCTTTTAGTACAGCATTCCCGTTTTGGCAACAAACTGGAGTCAAATGAGAACAATCATGTCATTAAGGGAAGCAGGAAGGTCTGCATAACAATTTACAATCTCTGTTGGCTAAGTCAGATATGAGCCCATGGCATTAATTCCCATAATATCCATTATAAGAAAAGGGGAAACAGGTATGGTTAGGCACACTGAATTGCCAGGAAAGATGATCATGTTTGATCATGATCATAATTCTCTAAAACAGGTAGTCCTCGACTTACAACAGTTCATTTAGTGATTGAAGTTACAATGACCCTGGAAAAAAGTGAGTTATGACCATTTTTCACTTACAACCGTTGCGGTTTCCCTGTGGTCGTATGATCAAACTTCAGATGCTTTGCAACTAATTCATATTTATGACGGGTTTTTTTTTTTTAATTTGATTTATATGCCGCCCTTCTCCGGAGACTCAGGGCGGCTTACAGTGCGTTAAGCAATAGCCTTCATCTTTTTTGTATATTTCTACAAAGTCAGTTTATTGCCCCCACAAACTGGGTCCTCAATTTACCTACCTTAGAAAGGATGGAAGGCTGAGTCAACCTTGAGCCTGGCGAGATTTGAACCCTGCAGTAATTGCAGGCAGCTGTGTTAATAACAGGGTGCTTTAAACCACTGTAGTACCAAGGCTCTTGTCAGTGTCTCGGGGTCATGTGACCACCTTTTGCAACCTTATAAGGAGCCGAGTCAACGGGGAAGCCAGATTCACTTTACAACTGTGTTATTAAGTTAATAACTGCAGTGATTCACTTAACAACTGTGGCAAGAAAGGTCATACAATTGGGCAAAAATCATTTAACAAATATCTCACTTAGCAAGAGAAATGTTGGGCTCAATTGTGGTTGTAAGTCGCGGACTACCTGTATTAATGAATACAACAATGTTCCATTTTTTTTTTTGAAAAAACTGAGTTGCAATTATCCTGGCATACACAGGCTTCTTTTTAGAATTCATTTTCAAGCTGTCTGTAGAAACACTTATTATGACCAACAAATCATATTTGGAGTTGTGGTCAAAGTGTGGCCTGGAAACCAGAGGATGGTGAGCTGTAGTCGTGCTTTAGGTATGAAAACCAGCTGGGTGACTTTGGGCCAATCACTAGGAGACAGTGAGTTCTAGTCTTGCCTTAAGCATGAAGCTGGTTGGGTGTCTTTGGGTCAATCACCACAAACAATGAGTTCTGGTCCTGTCTTAGGGATGATCATTGGCTGGGTGAACTTTGGGCCAACCACCAGGAGACAGGGAGTTCTAGTCCTCCTTAAGGCATGAAAGCTAGCTGGGTGACTTGTGGCCAGTCACTTTTTCCTCAGCCCAATCCACCTCACCGTTGTTGTGAGGAAAATAGCAGGAAAGGTTTATATATGTTGCCGCCTTATTTATAAAAACGTGTATAAATATTTAATTATTTATTTGAGTAATCATAAAAATAATAAAGTCGGGATAAAAAATTTAAAAAGACATGCAGGTGCGATAAGCAGTATATTGATAAATGAAGAAAAATGAAATAAATAAATAAATAAAAATCTAAAAAATAAACACATACCCACATACATACCATCAAAGATTTCAAAGGCTGGTGTCATTTACAGAAAATACATAAAGTAATTGAAAAGGGCCACAAACTTGGATGGCCAGTTTATATTTGCATTGAAGAGTTGGGTTTTTTAAATGCACTTTGCTGCCACCTATTGACCAGTTGGATATTTGCAGTCCAGAGCTTGTAGTCCCAACTTGGGAGGACTTACCAGCGGACGGGGGATAGGCTTCTGAGGTTTCTTGGATCCTAATTTTTTCATGGCATTATAGTACTTTTTCTGTTCCTCAGTCATGAAGATGTCTTGTCCACCTAAGTATAGGGAGATACAATTAATGTTATTTTGGTTTGGAAAATAAAAAGGGGATAAAACACTCATAGATATTTGGATATGTTACTTTTTATCATCATTCATGTATTCCCAGTAACATTACTCTTTAATAATGTTTAATAACATTAAATTATGTGGTGTGCTGATTAAGGAGCAGAAGAACCCTAAATTCTGGTCTCTCCAGGCTATAGAAGCTGAAGAACAGTCTCATGGCAAATAGGCAGCCATGAAAATAGCTTATTATTTTTTCCTTTTATGACCCTGTAATCCCTTTTATTGGGATGGAGTTAGGGCAATGGAATGGAACTGAGCATTTACTGGACGGATGCCCTTCCTGACACCTATGCAGAGTACGCAGCAGATATTTCTGCTTTGCGCTCTAAGAGAGGAATATCTGCTGCATAGGATTGAACTCTTAACTTCCCAAGTGGGAGGTGAGTATCTTCATCTCTAAGCCACTGCACCGCTCATATAATTAATACATTGATTAATAAAATAAACTCCCTGGGAGACTTTGAGACAGTCCCACTGTCAATCCTACTTAATTTGAAAAGTTGTTGTTTTGGCAATAGTAGAAGGGATGGGAGTTCATCAATGAAAAAGAAATCTAACAAATAAGTAAATTTGATTGCAAACAAAAAAATTTAAAAACATTTATTATATGTATATGAAATCTTATTCTGTTCACCGCCCTGAGTCCTTCGGGAGAAGGGCGGTATAGAAATTCAATCAATCAATCAATCAATCAATCAATCAATCAATCAATCAATAAATGATTGTGGATTTTTCCTGGGGCATTTTTAATTTAATTTTGATGGAAAACAAAAGGAAGCTATCTTTTTTCAAGTGTGATTCTCAACTTGCAATCTTTCATTTAGTGATCATTTGAAGTTACAGTGGCACTGAAAAAAGTGACTTACAAAACCATTTTTTCACACTTAGTCATTGCCAGTGGTCACATGAATAAAATCCATCTGTGGCAACTGGCATGTATTCATGATGGTTACAGTACCCTGGAGTCATGTGATCAACATTTGTGACCTTCTGACAAGCAAAGTCAATGGGGAAGCCAGATTCACTTAACAACCGTGCTGCTATCTTAACAACTGCAGTGATTCACTTAACAACGGCAGCAAGAAAGGTCGTAAAATTCAATTAACAAATTGAACTAACAAATGTCTCGCTTAGCAACATAAATGTTGGTCCCAATTGTGGTCAGAAGTTAAGGATTACCTGTACTTCAGTGTTATCCCATCCACCTGCAAAGCATGTGCAGGGATGTCAGTCAGAAGTCAAAAAAGACAAGATAGTGATTGCATAATCAAAACCCCACTCTTCTTTTTGATGTGCCACTCAAGACTTTGATTGTGCAATTGTGGCTGCTCTACATTGACTTTTGGGGCATACACTTTTCCTGAGTATGGGTGTTCTCTTGCTGATTGTGCAGTCATATCTCAATACTTGACTGCTTTAAAGATCGTCAAATTTGGTACTTAAGGCATTTTGACATGAAAATTTTGTCCCAATATTCGTCGTTTATTTGGTGAACTAACTTGTTGGTGTCAGCTGCCTCATGACTCACTACCTTTTTGGCTGAAATAAAGGGTGGCTTGTTTGGTGCTTGCCATGCCTTCTGGAACCAATTAACTGTGAGTACCGAAGTATCATTGTAACTGGTTTTACTTTCATTAACTTCGTTACCCCTTTCTGATGCAAACACTCGGCAAAATCAGTACAATATAGTAGTGCATGGTTTGAAAAAGAGAAAATGACAGAATCTTACACAGCTGTTGAATAAGATTCAAAGAGAACTACTTATCTTCTTTTTTTTGTTGATTGAAATTGTCAATGATGACACCAATGAAGAGATTCAAGGTGAAGAAAGAACCGAAGATGATGAAGATCACGAAGTAGAGGTACATGTACAAGTTATATTCCCACACAGGGCTGCTCTTCTCTCTGCGAAGGAAAATGGGAAATAAGAGAAGAACAGAATAAAGATCTATCAGGATCTCAAACGCCATCATTACTGCTTCTAAATTGAGCCATCTTTCCTTTAACACAGTTGGGCTTGGATGATAAATATCATCTTTCCAAACCAGTAGCTGGATTAACTAATAAAATTCAGCTCAACTGGGAAGCCCTCGATGTGTGAGATTGTAGGATAGTTATGAAAATAGTATATGAAAAAAAAGAGAGACACACATTGTTCACCTTCAGGAAGGAGTCACAAGAAGAAATAGTGAGCATAATCCTAAGGTTTACCTCATAGAGATAATTCTCAACATATGACCGCAATGGGGACTGCCCATTACAGTTGCAAGTGGTGCGGCCGTTATGCAAACATGCTGGTTGTTAAGTGGAGCACTGAGTGGTCAGGGATGGGGGAGGCTCTGGGAGGCTTAGTGCAAACCCCAGCATTCTTACCCCAGGCTTCCCAAACTCCAGACACCCTATAAACCACTCCCCTCCCCTTGTGTCCCTGGTCTTTTCCCCCTCCTACAGGTACCCATAAGCTCTTCCTCACACTGGGTTCCCGTAGGGCTTGGGTCTCCTCCCCACTGCCCATCCCCCATCAACGCACTTACCTTTTGAACAGTTCCAGAATATTCTGCAAACACTCTACGATCTGGGTGGCTGTGTGCAAAATTCCAAAATGGCCAACATTTTCAAGATTCCCACAATTCCTTGCAGTCACACTATAAAAGCAGCCACATAGTGCCACATAGCCAAGGATGAACCACTCTTGTTTTGCTTCCCAACTACACAGTGCTGCAGAAAACTCTGGAAGATCTGCCCTCCTTCCCCAACATGACATCTTCAAATGGTAAGTGTAGGGGAAGGAGAGGCAGAATCTAAAGGCGGAGTCAAGAGGGGAATCAGCCTGGAGTCCTTACGTTGCCACCAGCGGTCCAGTCCATCTCTCCTTGAATTCCGTTCATCTTTATCTAATGCCAATTCAGCCTTGACGGTTAGTTAACCACATTTCTATGGTTGTAAATATGAAGATCAGTTATAAGCCACTTTTTTCAGTGCTGTTTTAACTTTGAATGGTCGCTAAAACAAATGGTTGTATATTGAGGACTACCTGTAACTTGATTCTCATATATATATATATTTTTGTTTAAAAAAAGAGAAGTAAAAATGGCATTTAAAAAAATGTTTTAATTATTCCTTGCTGGCAAAAATTGCTAGTAGTGACAGACTGAAGTTAGTCTGCTGTTTGGTTGGAAGTTGGCGCTTACTAGCGGAAAACAAGCCAGCTGGTCTGACAGGCCTGTTTTTTTGCTGGCATGCAATATGCTTTCATGGTGTCTGAGCTTGCCCAGTGTCACTATACACACCGTGCCCTGCAGCTGTGTCATGAAACAGCTGTGTAAAGGAAGGGAATGCACAAGTCACTGGAAGACAAGGCTCGCCATTTGTCCCTACTTTTCTATGGACAATCCTGCTGTTATGTAAACCTGGTAATGTCAAGACAGCTAATTCCTGACAAGTAGGGAAAAAAATTCACCATAAGTTGCACTTGTTGTTAATGAGCAGGATGTACAGAACAAAGCAAAACAGAGCCTTGGTGGCGCAGCAGACTAAAGTGCTGTTAAGTAGCACTTAGCTGCCTGCAATTACTGCAAGTTCAAATCTCACCAGGCTCAAGGTTGACTCAGCCTTCCATCCTTTCGAGGTAGGTAAAATGAGGACCCAGATTGTGGGGGCAATAAGCTGACTTTGTATAAAAAAGAGAACACCGCTTTGGGGGGGGGCGAAAGCCCTACTAAGCAGGTATATACAATAGTATGAAGGCTATTGCTTAACGCATTGTAAGCCACCCTGAGTCTCCGGAGAAGAGCGGCATAATAAATCGAACAATAAATAAATAAATAAATAAATAAATAAATAAATAAATAAATAAATAAATAATGAATGAATGAATGAATGAATGAATGAATGAATGAATGAAATAAAGCCAGCGGGGGAGTATTAGGCAAAGGACCTCACCTCTCGTGAATCTACCGCTGCATACATAATCGACATCCAACCTTTAAAAGTTGCCTAGAAAAAAAAAAAGAGAGAGAGAGAGAGAGAGAGAGAGAAGAGCAATGCATTTGATTTAGGCAGTGATAATCAGCCGTGACTTTCTTACTTTGTGCTTTATCTGCAGTTTGGTGGCGGTGAGGAAATTTCTCAGTGCGATTAATAAAATAGTAACATGGTCCCCTGAATTCTGGCTAGCACGAGAGCCTAGAGATAGATTCCACGTTGGCTGTGTGAACTTTCTAATGATTTAAAACATGACATTGCCCGGGGGAGGTGGGAGGTGGAGGAGGAAAAGAAGAAGAAGAGAGATAGAACAAAAAAAGGAGGGAGGTAGAGGGGGGGGGGAAGGAGAAGGAGAGAGATATAAGGAAATTGGAGGAGAAGGAGGGGGGGAGGAAGAGAAGAGAGAGGAGGAGGAGGAGAAAGAGGAAGATGGAGGAGCAGGAGCAGGATGAGGAGAAGGGAAAGGGAAAGGGAAAGGGAAAGGGAAAGGGAAGAAGAAGAAGAAGAAGAAGAAGAAGAAGAGAAGAAGAAGAGAGAAGAAGAAGAAGAAGAAGAAGAAAGAAGAAGAAGAAGAGGTAGAGGAGGAGGAGGAGGAGGGAGAGGAGGAGGAGGAGGAGGAGGAGGAGGAGAGAGGAGGAGGAGGAGGAGGAGGAGGAGGAGGAGGAGGAGGAGGAGGAGAGAGGAGGAGGAGGAAGGAGGTTGTCGTCATCATCATCATCATCATCATCATCATCATCTGGGACCAAATGGAACCAATTCCTTTGCCTTCCCTCCCCCAATAAGCTCCTACCCATCTTCCTCTAAATTGATCCCTTTCCTTTCTGGGAAGACAGGAAATGATCCAGGTGGATCAACTCTTGACCACGTACCTTTAGGGTCCCTTATGAGACACCCAATATACAGCTTCGTTAAAATGGGGTTTAAAACACCAGAAGCTACTGAGAAAATTGGCTTTTTTTATTAACGATTCTCTCCTGAAATGCAGGCATGCTGCAGTGTAACACTAAGGGTAAACAAATAAAAGAACCATATCTACTATGGTAACCAGCAGTACTATAATTAAAAATATTGCCTTTGCCATCATGAAATAATTGTAATTGTATATTTACTTCTGAGTCTTTGAAAAGGTTTCAACCTTCTACCATTGACCAAAATTTAACCTCTTCTCTTCCTTACATGCTACATTAAGAGTGAAACTGTGTTTTTCAATATATCAAGCCAAGACAAATAAATAAATAAGAATGAAGACAAATCTAAAGCCAATCCAGTGAGAATGCACCGGCACTGATTTGTTACAAACAAGGACAAATCACTGCATTCAATACATTGCTACCAAAAATGCAACCTTCACATGTATTCCCATACTTTTGAGCCTGAGCAAAATAGGATAAACAAGAGAATAATCGTGTAGATTCTCTAGTGGCAGTTGTTTTGAATGAAAAGAAAGAAGGTCCTAATACTCAAACATTGAATTAATTGTTAAAGCACTGAATAAAAGCCAATTGAGCATATGTGAAATACTTACCCTAAAGGGGTTATAGATGACAGATTACCTTCAAAGTCAAAAATTGTTTTAGAGGAATGAAATCATCAGGTCCTTTATCTTTTGGGAAGTGTTTGGTAATAGAAGGGGGAGGGGGGCTTTGTGTGATTGGTAATTGGAACAAAAATAAAACTTTCTCTCCTTGCTTTTATATGTTACGTCCAATATTCTGTTTCCCCTTTCATTTCTGCTCTTGAGCCTAAAAAATGTGCGTTGGAGACCCCCTTCTGATTTTTCCTCACTGTACAGTGTGTTCCTTCCCCCCTTCTCCGTGGAAAAATCAGTGGCTCCAGAAAGAGAGACCACGGAAAACCCTCAAGTATGGAAATAATGGTTGGAATTACATTCCAGTTGATTATTTTACAACTGTTTCATTCATGCTTTAAAATCTTCTACCTGATCAGTAACACAATAACAGAGTTGGAAGGGAACTTCTAGTCCAACTTCTGCTCGAGTAGTAGACCCTGTAAGTTTCTGGAAAAGTGGCTGCCGGTCTCTTCTTGAAAGCTTGAAATGTTCCAGTGATGGAACACCCACAAGTTTGGAAGGAAGGAAGGAAGGAACAGGAAGGAAGGAAGGAAGGAAAGGAAGGAAGGAAGGAAGGAAGGAAGGAAGGAAGGAGAGGAGAGAAAGGGAGGGGAGGGAAGCAGAGGGGAGAGTGAAGGTAAGGAGCAGAGAAAGGAAGAAAGGAAGGAGAGGGAGGTTGGGAGGGAGGCAAGCAGGCATGGAGGGAGGAAGGAAGGAAAGAAAGAAGGAGAAGGAAGGAGGGAGAGGGAAGTAAAGGGAGGGAGGGAGGAAGGGAGGAAGCTGAGAGGAAGGAAGCAGGGAGAGAAGGAGGGAGGAAGGAAGGGAGGGTGGGAGGGAGGAAGAAAGGGAGGAAAGAAGGAAGGAAGGAGAGGGGAGAGGGAAGAAGGAAGGACATTATTATGGAATTATTGATATAGCCTAGGGAAGACGAGGAAATCCAAGAAAAAAAAAACCCCAAGCAACTGGAGCTTAAAAGACCAGATAATGTTACAGGTTGTTTCTCTGAAACAAATGATGATCTAATCCTACATATTGATCCTTCTGCAGGTGGTTTAATAATTTCTTCCTCTGCCTCCTGATGTTTCTGAAAACCCCCTGGATAGAAATTTGAGCTTCTTACTACATCATTTCACTCAAAAGCCATTCCTTCTGCTCTGGAAGTTTAGGGCAGGGGGAAAAAAAAGGATTCTGTAGCACACAGCCTTCAAAAAAAACACCTCATCCTTCCTTACACTGCTTTCCTATCGGTGAACACTGTCTTGCATATCTCTGCATGGCATTTTCATCCTGGGGGTGTTATTTGAGCTGAACTCCAGATGGAGGAGAAATGTGGCATTTATCATTTCAAAAAAAAAGTCATTGTGGCTCATGAATTGATCGGATAGTGCCAAGATACCGATGGAAGGCAGAACTGCTGAACGAAAGGCTTCCCCACCCAAGGGAAGGCAAGATAATCGAAAGCTCCTTTGGAGTTCTGGAATCCTTCACTAGACACTCTTGCAGAGAAGTGACAATAGCATGAAAAATGAAGCCAGGGAGGAAAAAAATGTATCAGGGAATTAGGAGCCACTTAAGAGTCCTGATCTGGAGGTGACAAAAAGTGTGGTGTGCGGTGCAATATTGTCATTCCTGGAAAACATCTTGGTAAATACTATCTCCTGTTACAGGGGTCTCCAAACTTGGCCACTTTAATACTTGTGGACTTCAAATCCCAGAATTCCTCATGCTAGCTAGGGAATTCTGGGAGTTGAAGTCCACAAGTCTTAAAGTGGCCAAGTTTGAAGACTCCTGGCCTATTGAAACCAGTGCTGTTACTGATATGAGAGTGGAATTCTACTAAAGGCAGAACAAGAAGCAACAGGTGGAAATTAATCAAGTAGAGAACCAACCCACAAAAAAGGAGAAATTTCCTGACAGTGAGAACAATTAATTCTGGAACAGCTTCACTCCTGGAATTGTGGGTGCTCTATCACTGGAGGTTTTCAAGAAGAGACCAGACAGCCACTTGTCTGAAATGGCATAGGGTCTCCTGTTTGAGCAGTGGGTTGGACCCCCAAGTTCCCTTCAGACTCTGTTATTCCATTAATTAAGACCGAATTTATTTCAGATATAGGAGTAGGGGAAGATTTCATTTTCATTTCATTTTTTCAGGAAGAGGAAGGCATCCAGCAAACATCCTGGAGCTTAAAACCAGTAGACCAGGGGTGTCAAACTCAAGTCATCACAGCGGTGTCACATGATGTATCATGACTTTTCTCCCCTTCGCTAAACCGGGCGGGGATGTGGCCAGCGTGTGACACATCTGGCCCGCAAGCCAGGAGTTTGACAGCCCTGCTGTAGACTGTTGCCAATTGCCAATGAAAACAAAAAAGTGAATGCAACTGATAAAACAGCAGGGCCATGATATCAAATCATACTTAGTAGCCAAACAATTATGCCTTGTTGGAGGTGCCAACAATTAGAAGCAAGCTAGGCTTAGTTTTGGTACTTTTTCTTTTCCAGTCTATTAAAAGACCCTCTTTATCTCTGTCATTTACCCAAGCAAACATGTGAGATATCCAGCTACTTGTAGTTAGCCAAGTTGCAATGCTCAGTTCTTGGGAACTCTATCTGAAAAGCAACACTGTAGGAAAATGAAATTGAACCACAACTCAACCGTGAGAAGATTAAACTGGGAGATGAGAAGCAGGAAGAGGGAACTTGTTATTAGAGGCAATGTTGATTTTCTTTTTTTCCAAATGAAGACTTCATGAGTCTGGCCCCCGCTTTCCCCTGCCCTTGTGCTAATATATTGCTTTCTTCAGTGAAACCAGTTTATGGCAAATGTTCACATTTCAGAATCCATTCCTGACAATTTCAGAAACCAGTTTGGTGCAGCAGCTAAAACGATGGGTTAGAAACTAGATAAACTTTAGTTCTAGTCAACTACTTATGTGTGAAAACTACTTGAGTGAATTTGGCCTAGTCACTCTCTTTCAGCCCCCACCCCCCACGGTTGATGTAGGAGAAATAGGAGATGGAAGCATTAGGTATGTAGGCTGCCTTGAGTTAACTAAATGTAAACTTTAGTGGGATAAAAACATGATTAAAAATAAAGGAAAAACTCCACAGATGGGCTGGGAAAACCCTGCTTGAAGTTGTTATCAGCAAGAATAAACCGTTCTGAACCAGATGAATCAAAAGTTCCCCTCAGTATAAAGCATTTTCTTTGATCACAGTAACTGTTCGCAGGAGTCCTAGTGGATCACCACTTCAATAGGAGCTAGCAGTGGGCTGCAGCTGACAAAAAAGCCAATGGAGTCCTAGGCTGCGTCAGCAGAGGGATAGCATCAAGATCACGTGAAGTACTAGTACCGCTATATACTGCTTTAGTAAGACCACGATTAAAATACTGCATCCAATTTTGGTCACTGTGATATGAAAAAGATATTGAGACTTTAGA